GGGCGTCGGTGGCCGCAACGGTTTAGGCGTTGACACGGCGCTCATCACTGTAAGGTAAAGGTCCCGGGTTCGAATCCAGCGGTGAATCCTGCATTCAAACCCGACATACTTACAAATGGGCTTTTGTTTTAATCCGGCACCCTGAGGGTCATATATGACCTGTACTGTTCCGTTCCCTCGTAAAAATAATTTTATGGACATTAAATAATTTTACCGTAATAGAGGGACTAGGGACGTAGCCAAAACCCTCGTAAAAAATAAAGAATTAAATAAATAAACATAAAATAGAAATACAGATAAGGAAAAGAGAACGTGCAATAGCAATGTTGGGAAAAGACAAGCCAAAACAGAGGAATAGAAAAAAAGAGACATAATTAAATAGTGTAGTTGTAGGGAGGGGGGAATGTGAGACAGACTGATACAGAGAGAGAGAGAGAGAGAGAGAGAGAGAGAGAGAGAGAGAGGGAGGGAGTGTGAGAGAGAAAAAAGAAAATACCACACAGCTATACAAAAAAAGCACCATATACTTAAATATAAAATGGATCAATTATAATAAAATTGTCCGGAAGTATGACATACGTTGACGTAAATAGTATAGGAGGACCAAACGTATACGAAGTTTCTTTTAAGGCGTTAAAATCACTTCCACGCCTTAAGTATTTACCGTATTTGTGCGTTTTCCTCTCATTAAAAGAAATAATTATATTTTGTGAGCATTTGAGCGCGCGTGTAATTGTCTGACACATGGGTACAAAAAATTATTTGTTGAACATCCTTAACAGGGCGAACAAATTATTAAAGTGTATAGGATTTTTTGGTGCTTGTACGTTCGTACAAATTAGCCCGGCTTCGACATTTATTTATATTTTTTATTTATTTATTTTATTTATAAACGTTTCAATTAATTTATCGCGACCTAGCGAAATGTGCGTCGGTTTACCAATTACTTTCCCTCCGAATCTCTCGACGGCTTGACGACATTAATATTCCACGTTTAATTGTTCTGCCGGTGAGGATTTTATTAATAGGGCAATTTGGTCCGTTAATTAAACCCAGCGAAATATCGAATCGAAAATAAAACGTCGTTTACGGTGGTATTGCGTATATGAACGTAAAAATTTCGATTATTTAAACATAAAGTAAGATGGGAAGAATCTTATATTTATCGGGCATTTTCCCCAAACAGAACCAAAATCTAATTTGAATTTTTCAGAAAATTAAATGTGCTACTTCCTCTCTCTAAAAATCATGGATGGTTTGTGCAGTGTGTCGATCGAATTTTCACGCTCGGTTGTTCATCAAGTCGCTTAATTTTTTAATTAAAAATTTAAAAACGAAACGATCAAAAGCGGGTGAAAAACTATCATGCTCGGTAGACTAAAAAATTTAACTCATTGTTTTAGTTTACAACGTGTCCGAGTGGATCGAGGTCACGATAGCTCAGGTGGTAGAGCAGCGGCGTATCTAGCCGAAGGTCGTGGGTTCGAAACCCTCTCGTGCCATTAACTTTTTTTCATCTCAACTAAAAACCTTAATTAATTGTAAAGTATTAATTGGTCAAGCGGATCACGAAATTAGTGAATTTAAGAAAGTAATAGCAATGTTGAAAAAAGACAAGCCCGAACAACAGAAAAGAGAAAAAGAGACAGAATCAAATAGTGTAGTTGTAGGGAGAGGATTAAGTGAGACAGACTGATACAGAGAGAGAGAGAGAGAGAGAGAGAGAGAGAGAGAGAGAGAGAGAGAGAGAGAGAAAGAGACAGAGAGAGAGTGAGAGAGATTTTCAACTCACGATAATATAATTCGTTTAATAAAGAAAATAAATGATTTAAAAAACAATACATAAAAATTTGAAGAAATCAACGCAATAAATATAAAACAGAAATAGTTCAAAACAAATGGATTTTAGCTATAATAGCAAAATCGATATAAATCGTCTCTAAATAATATATGGCTTTAATAAATGACAATTGGCCCACAAACACACAAAATTAATGTCTTCACTAATAATCGAGAAAGTCTGAATCGTTTAAAATAAAACTGATGAAAATAGAAATTTACATTAATACCTTTCTATCATTATAAATTGTTTACTAGAGTAATTAAACAAGAGCGTAAAGTAAATATAGGAAAATTATTTTTTACAAGGTGTTAAGTTCGGACGCCTCTATTTTTTGCTGTTTTGTATTATTCAGGTGCATTTCAGCTACACGCCATCACAGCACGCTTCGTTTCGCCTTTTTATTTTTCCCGGATGCCTTTCATTTTTTCAGGTTCATTTTGTTTGTGTTTTCGTTTTCTGAGAGAATAAATGAATATATCTTCCTCCTGTTTCATATTGTTATCTTAACATCTACGAAAGGCCCTTTGTGTCGACACGACCCTCAGCCACCCTCCTGCGAACATTCCCTATTAATTAGATTGTCAACTCCCGGCTCGAACGTTCGCGATGAATTTATTTCAATTATTTTAGATAAATAAAAGACAGTAGTGAAGGCTTCTTCGAAACATTTCCGTCGGTACGCCGATACGAAAAATTCTTCCGAGCCCATTTTCAAAGTTCTAAAACGTTTTTGTTCATTTTTGCTCTTAACAATGAATGAACAAATTTAAAGACATCGTTGAAGTTAAACAAATATGGTTCGATTTTTTCATGAACTAGCGTATTTATACAAATGTTGTATAGTTTTTATTGTATTGTTATGCTATTATATTAATAATTTGAAACTTTTGTAAGCAATAATAGCCTGCGATTTAAACTTTATCGAATAAATGAGATTAAGTTGGGCTGTTGAAAAAAAATCCTTAATTTTGCATCGATGGTTATTAATTCAATTTCGAAATACTCTGCAGATGTATAAATTTGGAATCAATTTACAAAAAAGTCAATTAACATTCCCAAGTTTGAAACACCAACTTTACACTGCCGATGCTTGCGAAAAAGCTCCCAGTAAAGCCCAAACAAACTGTTGGCTTTGTTTGAAATCGAGAGTGAAAAGGTCGAAGCAACAGCCAATTGCCGCAATGTTTACTGTATGTTAACCACATCCCCCACCAAATGTTTTCTTTCCTTTACACTTTTGTTAGCATAACCCGCCTTTCTTGTAAAAGAGGGTTTAAGGGAAATAAGAGCCACTTTAATGTTACCTGTTCAATCCTGATATTAACTCAAATTATACTTTCTCAGAAAGATTAACGTTATTTTAAAGTCACTAATTTCACGGTCCGCTTGACCAATTAATATATTACAATTAATTAAGATTTTTAGTTGAGATAAAAAAATCAATGACACGAGCGGGATTCGAACCTACGATCTTCGGCTAGATACGCCGCTGCTCTACCACTTGAGCTATCGCGACCTCGAATTTGAAAAATGAAAAATGGCAAAAAGGAGGGAAAATTCAAAAGGTGGGGTTGAGATGGGAAGTTAGTGTCCGAGTGGATCGAGGATCGAGTTCGGCTCCCGCTCGTGCCATTGACTTTTTTAACTCAACTAAAAACCTTAATTAATTGTTATTTTAAAGGCATACCAAAGAAAGACGAGTTAATTAATGAAATAGCATTAATTTAATAAGAAAAAAAGTTTTTCTAACTAACTTAGCACAACGTTTCATGGAGAAAGTGTAAATTTACAAAGTAAATTTTGAGTTATTCACTTGTGAAGATTTCAACCCTCAAAAGAAACACGCGAAAGTGCTTGAAGCTTTTAAAATATTCATTCTCTGCCCTAAGACAATCCACCTTTACGGCTTCGTTGGCTATGTCTAACAAAAACGAAAATGTATCCCCATCTACATTACAGAAACCGCGAACATTTTTAGCGGTTATTTTCAGGGAAAATGAGAATCCCACGTAAAAAAATACATCTTGACTAAACAAAGTTATTGTAGAAAAATTATGATTTTATGATTAAGATTGATAAATTTAGTTTATGATTTATTATGTATATTTATGTCATACTCCTTAAAAGATTCCATTTATGTGGGTTTTAAAAATGCTAACATTTGATGCAATAAATTAAAAAAACGTATATAATTAATTACGATGGATATTTTGTTTTCAAAATTTAAACAATTTATCAATAATGGTAACTTTTAGTATTGATTACCTTCCATTATATTTCGTGGTCCGATTAATGCACTCGGACACCAATTTTCCATCTCAACCCACCTTTCGGATTTTGGTAAAAAAATTGTAATAGTAGTGTAATCAGGATTCGATTCTCGGCGACAAATGAAATGGCCACGGAGAGCTTTAGTGAAGACATACTTCAGCTTAATTATTAAATCCATTAGATTTTGTGATCCGATTGACCAAATAACTTCTTTCATTTAATTAATCTTTATGTAAGGGATTGGTTGAGATAAGTGGATCGAAGTCACGATAGGTCAAGTGGTAGAGGAGCGGCGTAGTTAGCCCAAGGTCGTAGGTTCGAATCCCGCTCGTGACACTGACTTTTTTTATCTCAACGAATACCTTACACAAAGATTAATTAATTGAAAGAGGTTATTTGGTCAATCGTACCTCGAAATCTAATGGACTACATTCTAACATTAACTAAACAAGCACTCCAGTCCTGATATATAATCAATCCCATATTTTATTTGATAAATCCATATTGAGTATCTTTAATACGTGAAATAATTTATGAAAGGGAGTTAATATTTACCCTGCAATTGGTAATTTCTCATCCCTTGGAATTATTCAACACTTGGGAGATTTATTTAGCCTATCTGGTGAACTTGACACAGTCTCGATACAATTACGATTTTATTATTTACAAAAACGCAGAAAAAACACGATCTCATTTAAATAAAATGGCCACCGATCTCATTTAACTAAAAATGATAAAAGGTTCAATATGATTTTTTTATTTAGAAAACAAATTACAATAATGTTTGATTGATTTTTTTCTCAGATTATATATTTTTCTTGTATTTCTTTTTAAACTTTACCCAATAATGTAATAAAAAATTGAACGAAATTTTATTCTGTTTCAGTTTCCTCCAGTTCGCAGGGACGAAGAGAGGTGAGCTTGAGCCCATTATTTTTCCATTACGCACGTTTGCTGGTGGTAATTCGTCCATAGACACTAAAACATAAAGAATGGTTCGGCGAGAATGGAACACGCGAACTTGTCACGGCAACAGGTGAACAATCAGAGGTCAATTGGTTAGATCGGTTTTTTCTCATTTCTTTCTCAGTTCTTTTGAAATACACAAAGAATCGATTCTCTCTGTTAAAACTATTGTTTTATTTTTGCCAATTCGTAAATATTTGCTGGAAATAAATTCCCATTTTCTGAGATAGAAAGGAAGAAAAAAAAATCTCAAGGAGAAAATCGACATTTCTTTTGAACTTCTGGATGAAATTTATTTATTTTCTCCGGTCGCCTTGAAGTTGAAAGTGAGGAAGAGGCAGTGATTTAAGAGATTTATTTTTAAGTGAAAGACCTGAATGATTAACGGTGTAATTTATTGCACCTCCGAACGGGGAATATTTATCCTCAACTATCCTACCGGACCAGTAGAGAAGAATTTTCAAACCCTTATATTATTGTATAAAGGTTGCGTCATTCCCATCAACACAGAAATATTTCAACAATAAAACTGTTTATTTTTCTGTTCAATTAGATATACGATATGTTTTATTTTCAAATCATTTCGTCCAATCATTAAACATTTATACTCCTTATAAATAATTTTTTAAATTCTTGTTAAATACACTAAAAACTAACAAAAAATTATTTATAGCATGATATGAAAAATATGCATACATAGATTTATAAGTCTAATTCAATTCCTTGTCCTTTTCAAAATATAGATTTTTTTAATCAAATTGAATCTGTCTCTACCCAAATTTTCAGAAGCAAATTAGATTTTTTAGAAATTGAATTGAATTTTTTTGGTTAATGTTTCCTCTCTCTCTCCCTCTCTCTCACTCTCTCTCTCGCTCTCTTTATCTCTCTCAATCGCTCCCTCTATCTATTTTTGTCACTGTGTGTCTTTCTATGTGTGTTTCTCTTTCTACCCTTTCTTTCTGTCTCCCTCTCTCTCTTCTCTCTATATATCTATCTCTGTCTGTCTAGCTTTCTACTTATCTCTTTTTCTCTCTCTCTCTCTCTCTTTCTTTTTCTCTATCTTTGTTGGTCCTTCCCTCTCTCTGCTCATCTCTCATTTTCTCTCACTCCCTAACTCACTCATTCACTTTGTCTATCTAACCATTTATCCACCTTTCCCACCTTTCTATTTCTATTTCAGTTCTCTCCCTGTCTTTCTTTCTCTCTTAGTCCATTCTCTCCCCCCTCTCTTTCCCTCCCTCTCTCTCTCACCCCCTTTCTCTCTCTTACTCTCTCTCTCTCTCTCTCTCTCTCTCTATCTATCTATCTATTTTTGTCGCTGTGTATCTTTCTATCTGTGTTTTTCTTTCTACCCTCTCTTTCTGACTCCCTCTCTCTCTTCTCTCTATATATATCTCTGTCTGTCTAGCTTTCTACTTATCTCTTTTTTCTCTCTCTCTCTTTTTCTCTATCTTTGTTGGTCTTTCCCTCTCTCTGCTCATCTCCCATTTTCTCTCACTCCCTAACTCACTCATTCACTTTGTCTATCTAACCATTTATCCACCTTGCCCACCTTTCTATTTATATTTCTATTTCAATTCTCTGCCTGTCTTTCTTTCTCTCTTAGTCCATTCTCTCTCCCCCTCTCTCTCCCTCCCTCTCTCTCTCTCTCTCTCTCTCTCTCTCTCTCTCTCTCTCTCTCTCTATCTATCTATCTATCTATCTATCTATCTATCTATCTATCTATCTATCTATCTATTTTTGTCGCTGTGTATCTTTCTATCTGTGTTTCTCTTTCTACCCTCTCTTTCTGACTCCCTCTCTCTCTCTTCCCTCCATCTAGCTATCTATCTCTGTCTGTCTAGCTTTCTACTTATCTCTCTTTTCTCTCTCTCTCTTTCTTTTTCTCTATCTTTGTTGGTCTTTCTATCTCTTTCTGCTCATCTCTCGTTTTCTCTCACTCCCTAACTCACTAATTCTTTTTGTCTATCTAACCATTTATCCACCTTTCCCACCTTTCTATTTCTATTTCTATTTCAGTTCTCTGCCTGTCTTTCTTTCTCTCTTAGTCCATTCTCTCTCTTCCTCTCTCTCTCTCTTTCTCTCTCTCTCTCTCTCTCATCTATCTATCTATCTATCTATCTATCTGTCTGTCTGTCTGTCTGTCTATCTATCTATCTATCTATCTTTCTTTCTATCTATCTATCTTTCTCTCTCACTCTCCCTGCTCGACTCTCATCCCGTAGTTCTTTCGCTTTACATTTTCTCTCCTTCTTTTTCATTCTGTCTCTCTTTATTTTTCTCTCTTTCTCTCTCTCTCGCAGTCTGTTGTTTTTAGGATTAAATTGACGTACTCATTATTTTCGCATAACTTGGAGCTAAGATATAGCGGCTTGCTGAACAGTCTTCAGCCCACGAACCACGAATCATTAATAATTTTTTAAATTTTATTATTTTCAAAATTCACTTTAAAGTTCTCTAACGTTTTGAAGGTCTATTTATTTAAAATAGTTTTTATCAGGATTATTTATTCATACCATCTTCTTTGGCCTTTTTTAATAAAAAAATAAGATTTAATAATTAGAAAATTCTTTTATGTTGGCAAAAATTTGTGAACTATGTAAGATAGTTTTAAATCATTACTATGTCAAAGTCAGAATGCACGTGGAATGATTGTAAAATACACATTTAAATAAACATTCCCCACAAGCTGAACCAATCCTAGATATACAGGCTAAATCAAAATAATGAACGTTCCATTGAAATTGCGTTGGTAAACAGAGGCAGGGTGCCTAATGGCGTAGGGCAATCCGTACTGGAGTAGCGAGAACATGCGAGCCCAGAAATGATCCCTTATTTGTTACAATGGCGACATCCAATCAGACGGCCCGACTATCCACAACGAACAACAAATTGCACATGTGAATTCCCGTTTTTGTTCAACTACACGTGTACATGATGTTAAAGTTGAACCGTTCACTATATTAGGACGACGATAAATTAAAATAATAACAAACGTGAACAAGCCAACCTCGGAAAAACAAACTATGAGTAATTGCCAAATGGCTGGCACGAGTTCATACATTTCCAGACCAATAGCCTAAAACTTGTCATCAAACGTAAAATAAAATAACTACCAAAAAGATGTTCATTTATACTAAAATTCGATTATATTTAGTAATTATCGAACAAAATTTATTGCGTTTTTTCGGCAAAAATATCGTTTTCTTAAAAACATCGTGATATATTAAAAAAAAATTAAATTTGCGTCAGAAAATGTTGAACTTGATTCGGAAAAAATTCAATTTATTGTGAAAATACATATATTTGGTTTAGAAATTCTAAAATTTTACAATTAATTAATCTTTATGAAAGGTAATAGTTGAAATATGTGGTGAGTAGTGACCATTAATCGATATTTATTTAGAAATCGTGAGATGCGGTCTGGTGTGATGTAGGTTTCAGAAATACAGTTTCTTTATCGTTCCAGCGTTTCGATCTTCATTGAGATCATCTTCAGGGCCTGGGATTTACAAACATTGTTTAAATATAACTTTGTATTTGTTAAATTTAAACAATGTTTGTAAAACCCAGGCACTGAAGATGGTCTCAATAAAGATCGAAACGTTGGCACGATAAATAAAATGTTTTTCTGAAACTTACATCACACCAGACCGCATCTCACAATTTCTAAATAAATATATAATGTTTGAGATAAAAATTCAGCGTCACGAGCGGGATTTGAATTTATCTCGGATTTAACTCAACCAATACTTTTCATAAAGATTAATTAATTGAAAAAAGTTAATTGGCCAATAGGATCACGAATTGTAATGGTTAAATTTTACTTGGAATTATTATAAATTATTTTGGAACAGTCCAATTTAGTCAAGGCGAATACTCATCGTTTGGTTTTAATTATAGTTTTACTTTATTATTAGTCAAAACGGTACGTTTTCTAATTTGTGAAAGATTGAATTTAATCTTGTACAAGTGGTTTTGTAAAGTTTAAGATAAAACTCCACGATGGAGAATTTTGAGAAAATTACGTTTAGCAATATTTCCTCAAAAAGGGAAATGTGTAGACGGGAAAAACCTCCTTCCATCTTTTCTCAGTGTAATTTAGTCCGACTTCTAGTTGAGACGCCGGTTTGGGAAAGTAGTAAAACCTTTGAGTACGTTTCTTCGGCTACAAAAGCGTAATGAAGCCGCCGTAAAAGGAAGTGGGCGTTGCATGAAAATGGCCTCGGTAAATGCGACTGGTGTCTAAATAGACTTCCAAGCACTGCGTCGATTCCGCCTATCGGCCGGAGATAAAACTGAGATCGACGGGAAAGCGTCACAAAGGCGTAAAACTCGCTGTACATTTTACAAACGTTTAACTACTTGTCCTACGCACCCAGGTCAGGCTTTGTAGGGTGTAAAGAACATGTTTCAAAGTTCCCTAGTAACACTTGCCTTGTTTGTTTCATCAACAGGATTGTTTGTAGAGTGAGGAACTTGCTCTCGTAAACTATTAAGATCGATGCAGGAGGAGAATGTCTATTTGGCAAACAAGACAAAGTTGTGGCAATATTGCGGACAATAACAATGTCCAAACTGTATTGAAATCCTTGAAAACTGCATTTTTGACCAATTGATACAAATTAGAGAGGGGCTCGATCGCCAGATGATCAAAAGTACAGAGGAACCGGTTTGGAAAAAAAATTGTTTGCTAATTGGTATATTAAATCAATCAATCCATGGGGGTGTTACATTATTAATCTGGTCATAGATACAAAATGAAAAGTAATATTACGTACAATCCGGTAGGTAGGGCACTAAAACTTAGCGATATTTGTTTCCACAAGGATAACAAAATGAAGGTGCAATCGATGTTAATGGATAATGGATATCCTAAGTCATTAATAAACAGGTTAATGAACAGCAGAATGAGTGTAAATGTATGTGTATGCAAAAAAAAAACAATT